TTCCGAGTAAGGCTATCAACCACGAACCTTTATTATTGTAATACTGCTCCATTATTTATACAATCTGCATTAGTAAATTACACACATATATATACATGTGTTTCTCAAGTACTAAGAGAATTCGAATATTACATTTTTTTTCTTTCTACAATATTCTGAAATTGGTTTGAAACCCGAAAGATAATTTTAAATTTAGACAAAAACAAAATTTATTTTTAAAAAATACTAGAAGGTTCGTTTACAATAAATAAATAAAATATATATATAAAATAAATTTTTACTTAACTAGTGTTTGTAAGAAGCTAAAAGACACAAAAAAAAAGAAAATTGTAGAGATTTTTCTTTGACTTTGTTGTTATACATATACGTGTAGAGCAATCTTTAAACCACAGTAGTAGAACTCGACGACTGGTCAGACACAAAAGACTATTATCGTTGAAACGAGCATTCTTTACACACAAAACTCAGTATTATACGAGCAACTCAATGCACATGTTTTCCTCTTATTTTCCCATTACTATAATTCTCGTTCAACTACCCTATATCTGTCTATACAATAGAGAATTATACAAACTCTCCTATGTCATCTTTTTCTCTTTAAAAAAAAGAAAAGAAAAGAAAAATTTATTCTACTAAACTTTTAAACTCCAATCTATTAAAAATTAAATTCTATTATAAAATAGCGGAAATGTGCATTGTATTTTTTATTTTTGATAAAATTTATTATAATTGTTTTGTATTATAATTATAATTAAAATACAAAATTATTAAATATTTCTTAAAATCGTTTAATAAATATATGTTCTTCAATAATTATTAAAGTAATATACATACAATTTTTTTATAATAATATATTATAATTTATTTTGTGAAATGAAAAAACAAAAGTCATATAAAATAAATATATAATTTACTCTCTGAAATATATAACAATTTTTATCATACACGTTTGCAATTAACATAAATATTAATTATTATTCACGTTTCATTATTCGTAGAATGCAGTAAATTGGAATAAATAATATATATGCAATTAATATATTCACGATATTTAAATAAATATTTGTATTCTACTTATTTATTTTTATTAAATGATTAAATGATAAACTGTCAACACTTTTTTTTATTAGTTTTAGAAAAATATTTATTTTCCATATTTATATAAATTAAATAGTTGAGAATTTCTAATGAATCGATTAATGACGTCACAATTTATAGCAGACAAACTTAATTCCGATTTCCCTAAATTTCCATATTTACCAAATGATTATTCTACCTATCCTCAATTTCATGAATCATGATTATTGATTAGTTCTCTGTTTTAATTAATTAATTGATCAATTTGCATTTGATGTTCCTTGTTAAGGTGAAATAATTCTTCTCTCTCTTTTTTTTCCATATAAGTACAGTACTGGGTATTGCAATTTTTTTCTATAGTTAATTTTCGAAATTAGAAATTATTAATTATTCTACTAATAAATATTCTATAATTAAAACCGAAGAATAGTAAATAATTACATATTAGTTTTAGTGTTTTATCTTCAAATATTTGTATACACAAAAATTTATTTACATCTTTAGTTTTATTTTACTTTAAAAAGTAAACTAAAGTATTTTCAAGTACAAGTTTCCTGAAATCAACATAATTTATTTACTAAAAACAGTTGCATGCTGTAATTATCCGAATTAACTTAAAAGTTATAACATCATCACTCTGGTGCGTTTGAAAAGTTATATTAAATTTCAGAGAGTATTAGTAGCAATACTGTAAAAATTTAATTAGATTTTGCAGTTTACTTCCTTATTATAATAATTCGAATATTATATGAATTTTAAAAAATGCTCTTTTTTTAAAAAAAAACTAAAGCAATAATTATATTACGTAATAAATATTATGAAATAAATTAAATATAATTATGTTTATAATAGAATTTATAATTTTCATTTTATTTATAATTGATTAAAATTCTTAATCACTCGGTTGTTTTATTTAATTTATAAATATTGGTCGTTCATTTTAATCTTTATAAATTTATTTTATTAGTTTTAATTCATATAATAATTGTGGAATTCAGTTAAATTTTGAGTTCTTCGATTTCAATTTTATCATAAATTATAATTTAAGGAAATAATAATACTCAGATAAATAATAATTTGTCTATATAATAATAATTTAGATAAATAATAATTTGCCTATATAATAATTCAGATAATTAATAATTTGCCTATATAAATATTCATGAAAATATTAATTCGAAGCATGAAAATTCGAGTAAATTATAATTATTAATTAATTATACATATAAAATTATGATTCGATTGTAATTACAATTTTTTTAAATTTCCGTTTTAAATTCTATTCTAAAGTTTTTTAAAAACAAAATGTATCTCTTTAAATTTAAATTAGTTAAAAATAACTAAATTGTAAGTAAAAATTCAGTCACTGATTGAAATAGTAGGGGAGGATGGGGCAAGGATAGTTAGGTAAGACCTTTTCGGATCTAGCGGCCAAACTTGATTATGTATCTGCAAATGAAAAGTATTTTTGGAAAGCCTGGTTATTTGGCTATAATTTTGCTGTACATTATTTTACTGTAGACTCAAATCCCTACGAGATACGAATGAAAAAGTAAACAAAAATTTTTAACTATCCTTGCCCCAGTACCGGGGCAAGGATAGTTAAAAGAATTCGAATGCCAAAAATGTTATAGAAAATCAGTAAATTTTTGTTTTTTTTTATTTTACTGGTTTTAGACTATTCAATATTGATATCCCAAGTATTAAAAATATGTATGGGACATTTTCTGAATTGCAATTATTATATTAAAATTCATCTGAACTAGAATCAGAAGTTTAAACAATTTTTTTCAGACGACCACCAATTTCTTGGTCATAAGCTTCGTTTTCCGTATATAATTACGCACCATTATGTATATCAACCTAAAAAGAACAATTAAACACTTTTTTTAAATTTTCAATGGTATTAACACGCTTTTACCGTGCCGTATTATCTCTAACTATCCTTGCCCCATGAGTCCATATTTCAGTTTTTTCTAAATTTTAAGGAACGACGTGAATTAATTTGAAAATAAATACGATATTCGTGTTCAGCAGGAAATTCCACTCCGGAAAACATTTTACGTAAAAAATATTCTGAAATTCTAATGTAGAAAACAATATGATAAACATTACGTTGACATTTTAGCAAAACAGACTTTTTTCAAAAATAATCTCCCAACTTCGCAAATGGCGACAGATTGACTTGCAATTTTTACAATCATCTTTTGGTGTTAAAACGCGAATATACTATAAATTACGCGATTTTTGAGCAAGCCGTCTAAGCATAACAGCAACTAACTATCCTTGCCCCTTAACTATCCTTGCCCCATCCTCCCCTAATATTTTTACTACTGCGATAATTGCATTTTTTAACTGATTCAATTATTGAGTCTTAAAATTAAGTATTAAAATCATAAATTGAGGTCTAAAAGTCACTCTCTCAACCTGAACCATATCATATCACTGTAAAAAATAAGTCTTGTTTTAAGCCTAATTTTGACTAAAACAATTTACAGTAGTCCTAATGTTTACTAAATTTTTTATTAAAAAACGGATTTTAAGACCTAAAATTTTATAATTTTTATTTTAAGCCCAAAAATGTCCTAATTTTGACTAAATTTTTTACTAAAAAACGGATTTTAAGACCTAAAATTTTATAATTTTTATTTTAAGCCCAAAAATGCCCTAATGTTGACTAAATTTTTTATTAAATCCGAATTTAAAGTCCTAAAATTTTATAACTCTATTTTAAGCCCAAAAATGAATTGAATTAAAAAAAAAACACATTTGAGCTGTAAAGGCTTTGCTTTTACAGTGAAATTTTAATTTGAATTCTAGTGACTATTTGCTTTTAAATCGTGCAAAATTTAGAGATTTATCAGTGAAAAAAAATTATTCTACTGTAAAATCAATAAATTTTAACCGATTTCAAAGCAAAAAGGTCAATTCCTAATAGAAAAATGTTAATTGACTTATTATAGATTTAGAGTGCAGTCAAAAATATAATTCTAATATGTTAATGATTTTAAGGCAGAGGTCTAAAAATAAAAAAATTAGAGTAAAAAAAGAAAATCTGAAATCAATATCTTGAAATCAAAATAATTGAAAAGTGGACTTATTTTTAAGCTTGAAACTAGATTCAAGTCAATTTTAGGAATTAATTCATATACTTTCAAGGCTAAAATTCAGTTAAAAATGGGTCTAACGTACTGACTTTTTGCTTCTGAATCAGTTATTTTTAACTGATTCATATTTAGAGCTAGTAAATGGTTTTAGTGAAAGTAAAATTTATTTTTTACAATGAAAATATAATTATAAAAGCAATAAAAATAAAAAATTAATTAATAAGAATAATTAAAGAATATTAAATAAAAAATAGGAGCAAACAGTACGTCACGTGTCAAAAATTATAAGTACAATTCATTAACTTTTTTCCACAAGAAACTAAAGTAGAAATTCTCATTTTAATTGAAAATTATTTCCAATTCCCCCCAAAAAAAAGAAAGAAAAATTTGTCCCGAGACAAACAAATACACAGCACACAATATTGACAATTTTCCAGCAAGATTTATAACCAAGTCTCGTTCGAATTGTATACATATATATATGTACACAATCGAGCCAATATCCCCTCAGAATCAGTTGACGTGCCATGTGTAGTGTGTACGCCTAACTCTACACGTTGTCCCCCCCGCTCTCCACCCACTCATAATCATCACCCCTCCCCCTCTCTCTCTTTTCATTTCCCAGTTGTGCGCATCGTACACCATACAATCCACATTCAACCTCGACATTGTAATCAAGTACCTAGTAATTTTCTATGCTATTACCTTAAATTTCTGTATTGAAAAATAATAATATGTATAGTAATAATGAGGAAAGTTCGTTTGGGGTTATATCTCGAAATGCAATTGAGAAGCTTTCAGTACAAAGGGTCTCACCTGGTCTGGCCGACCCAAGGTCAGGTTAGTAGGCCGCGAGCACCGTGACTCCTTTTTTATTACCCTCCAATTCTCCCTCTCAAAACATTTGACAATCACTCAAAAAACACTGTGAATGAAAGATTTGAGGGTTGAATGCAATGTATTTGATGAGAGGACCATCTAATTATTGATGAATGGGATGGAAGAGGGATAAGCAGTTTTTTATCGGTGACATATCGCACTACAAGTGAAAGAAAACAGGGTCGACCCGGACAGATCGAGCTTTCGCGAGGAACTAACGGGAGAGAGAGCTTTCACGCAAGCTAACCGACCCCACCGCCTGTCTAGCTTGCCCTCTCTCTCTTTCTCACTCTCCCTCACTTACCATCTTTCTCCCTCTCTCTGTCTCTCTTTTTCTCCCTCTTTCTGTCTCTCTCCCACTCGCTTTCTTTCTGTCTCTCTCCCACTCACTCTCTTTCTCTCTGTCTTCCTCACGTAAAATTGGAGAGAGAAAGAGAGAGAGAGTGAACGCTCTCTTTCTCTCTGTCTTCCTCAGGTAAAAGTGTAGAGAGAAGGAGAGAGTAAACTCTCTTTCTCTCTCTCCACTTTTACGTTTCTTTCATCCCCTCTCTTCTCTATTTAATAGCTCCCTCTCTGTTGGCAACTTCCCCCTCCTGATCTTACTTCCCCTAGTTCTGTCTCATTTTGCGTTTGCCTGCTCCATCTTGTTCTCCCTCTCTCTCGCTGCTTTCGCTCTTTCTCTCTCCTTCTCCCTGACTCTTTCTCTTTCTACCCTCTCTTCGAATACCGTCCCCTCTCCGTCTCTCTTTTTCCACCTTCTCTCCGAGGAGTTTTCTCTCTCCCTCCTCCCTCTCTTTCACTCTCCTCAAGTACTTTTCTCTTTTTCTCTCCCCTCTCTCTTCGACGAATACTTTTCTCTCTCTCCTTCTCTCTTTTTTAACCTACCTTTTTTTTACTAGAAAAGGAAGGTGAAAATAGTGTAAAAAAAGAGAGGGAGAGAGAGAGTCAATGTAAAGGAAGGTAAAAAAAGAGAGAGAGAAAAAAAACTAGTGGAAAAAAAGAGAGAAGAGGGAAAGATAGTGGAAAGAAAGGCAAAGAAAGAGAAGGAGAGTGTAAAAAAAGGTAAAAAAGAGAGGAAGAGAGGGAGAACAAGTGTAAAAGAAAAAGAAGAAGAGTGAGAGGGAACAATTGTTAAAGAAGGTGAAAAAGAGAGAAAGAAGGAGAGAGAGGGAGAGAGAAAAGAAAGGTAGAAAAATAGAGAAGAGAGAGGGGAGGAAGAGTACTATCATCCTCCCCTCCCACCCAATACTCAACCGTGTGTGGGGGAAGGAGAGTTGAGTGGGACAAGAGTCAGAGGGACAGAAAAGCTTTCTGGCACCATCCCCCCTCCTCCTCTCACTCACTCATCTCCCCACTTTTATATTTCTTATCATTTCTTTTCTTTTTCTCTCCTTCCTCGTTCACCTGAAGGAGAGAAAAAGAGAATAAATGAAGAGATAAAAGTGGGGAGATAAGAGAGAGAGAGAGAGAGAGAGAGGAGGATGGGGGATCGAGGAAGGAGAGAAAAAGAGAATAAATGAAGAGATAAAAGTGGGGAGATGAGAGAGAGAGGAGGAGGGGGATTTCACCTAAAGGTGAACGAGGAAGGAGAGAAAAAGAGAGACTCTCTCTTCCATACGTATGTTGCATCTTCAGCTTCTTTCACCTTCTTTTCATCTTCGACACGGTTTTTCCTCTCTATATACCTACCTACCAACGAGATAGGGACTTGTCTTTTTTTTTATTTTTTTTTATTCTGTTTCGCACCTCGAGAACCATTGGAGGTCGACAAGAGTGGTTTATTAATCAGCTTCTGAACGACGTTTATAGAGAAATTATTATATTGCGATACTTGCGATACTTTATATTGCGGCATCACGAGATCGAATATTGTGTATTTTTGTCATTATACCAGGAAAGAAAAAGAGAAAAAAATTATTCAGTTTTAAAAAAATGATCCACGTGAAGGGTTGAGGAAAATTTAGCAAAAAGTTTTTAAAATTGAAAGACAATTTGGATTAGCATTTGAGAAAAAAAATAAGAAAAATAAATCTTTGGTTAATTATATTAATATTTTAATAATTGTACAGGGCTCGAGGTAGGAACCTAAAATCTCGTAAAGATCCGTAAAAATCAATTTTTTTAACAAAGGTCCGTAAAGTCCGCAATTTGATAGAAAACGGACGAAAAGTTGGTAAATCGTACGTTAGAATTTGGAGAATTTTTTTGAAAAATTACAAATGATTGGAGAAATTCAATTATTTTCAAAAGTAATAAAATTCTTGGCAAAATTTCAATTATCTTTATAAAAAATAAAATTCTTCTCTGAAATTTAATTATTTTCAAAAGTTAGCAAATTCTTGTCAAAAATTAATAAAATTAATAAAATTCTCCACAAAGTTTCAATTATCTTTATAAATAATAAAATTATTCTTTAAAATTCAATTATTTTAACAAATTTTTATAAAATTCTTGTCAAAATTTCAATTATCTTTATAAATTATAAAATTCTTCTTTAAAATTAAATTATTTTCACAAATTTTAATAAAATTCTTGTCAAAATTTCAATTATCTTTTTAAGTTATAAAATTCTTCTCCGAAATTCAATTATGTGTTAAAATTTTAAAAAGATTCTCGTCATAGTTTCAATTATCTTTATAAATAATAAAATTTTTCTTAAGAATTCAATTATTTTCATAAATAATAAAACTCATCGCAGAATTTCAATTATTTTTAAAATAATTTTAATCAAATTCCTCGAAAAATGCAATTATTCTTTAAATTTTTATGAAAAATTGTAGAAAAAATTCAATTATTTAAAAATTTTGTTGATAAAATTTTTTACGGGAATTGAATTCTAAGAAACATTGCATTATTCAATAAATTATTTATTTGCATTTTATTTGTATTTAAATAATTGAATTCTACTAGAATTTTCTAATAAAAATTGATTTTCATATCATAAAAATGAATTTCAGTTTAAATTTTAGATGATAATTGAATATTAAAAGCAATATAGCGTGAATTTTTAGAAATAGATAAATTTTGATATTAAATTTCTTGAAAAAGTTTAATTGCTTTTTTTTGTATTATTTGAAGTTTTTTTTCTAAAATATATTTAATTGAAGAATTTACGAATAATTGAAACTCGTAAAATTGAATATTGTAAACAAATTGATTTGAAAATTGTCAGAGAACTTTTTCGAAAATTAATTTATTTAAAGAAGGAAATAATTACCTTATTTTTAAGGGTGATATTACCCCAATATAAAAGTCAAAATAATCTAATATAAAAATAATAATTTAATACAAAAATAATAATAATCTAATATAAAAGTAATATTTCCATTGACGCTAAATAATATCCATAAAGCTGTATAATCGCTCTAAATTTAAAAATAATTATTCAACTAAAATTACTCAATTCAGTGAAATCACCTTTCGATTAAATGCAGTTCAGTTGAGTGACAATTATATAGAGAACATTCACGTGCCTTTGTAATTATTATATCCATTTTTTCGAAATAGAAAATATTATTTTGACAGGAGAAGAATTTTTGTTTGTTTGTTAACTTTTTTTATTTTCTTTCTTTCTTTTTGTTTGTTTGTTTGTTTTTTTTTTTTTTTGATGATTGAAAATATATTGTTTTGTACCGGGTTGTTATAAATATTATATTACTTGAAATGGAAAATGTAATTTTGTTAAAGGAAAGAGAAAAAAAATTTTTTTTGTTATCTCTCCACGTAGTCATCTGAAAGTAATTGAAAAATTGATTTTTTTCTTTATTAATTTAAATTTCTGTTATAAAGTTCATGAGGGATCGAATTTCTATAGAGTGAAACGGAATATTCGACAGAAATGTATAATTTACATAGAAGAGAAATGTTTTGACATTTCTCATATTGGAGGATAAATTTATTTGTAACAATAACAAATAATAATATTGATTATTTGACTACAATATTTAACATAGATAGATCAACTTTTACACTTGAAAGAAATATATTTGATTCAAATAAATTTTTTTTTGCAGTGTAACTTTATATATAGGTTGTTAATTTTATTTACATTTTATTTTATTATTATTATTATTATTATTATTATTATTATTATTATTATTATTATTATTATTATTATTATTATTATTATTATTATTATTATTATTATTATTATTATTATTATTAACAATATAATAATAAGAACAAAAATAATATAGAAATAAATCTAACCGTTCTTTTCAAATATATATTAGTATATTTATCATTTTCCACTTTCAAAAATATTTCTTTTCTTTCTGCCTCATTCCATTTTTTATTCATACATTTTTTCTTACCTTTTTTTTCTTTTGTCCATTTTTCGTCCACATAGATTGGAATATATTTTATATATATATATGTGTATATACATACACCGTACCTCATTCTAGCGACTCTCTCAATCCTCTTAGCCATCATTTTTGCTGACCCTTCTGTATATCTATTCAGCCGTAACCAAAAGAACCATCATCCAAGATCAAAACACATATACGTTTATGTATATACCTATTCACATAAAAAAAAGAATATGTATATATATATAAAACATTTATAAAATAATGGATATTTAGTTTCTAGAGAGAGAGCTAAACATTAAACGTTATACACATGCTTCATAAAGTGCTTAATAATAATTTCATTATTTGGTAATAAAATGTTTGCTTGTTTAGTAATTTTGCTTCCTTCAGTTTATATAAAGTAAACATAAATTTTATACATATAAATAATAATAAAAAAAGGATAATAATAATAATAATATAATAATACCGTGGATGTCCCAGTTTCTTTTATATTTCTTTTAAAATAATTTATAAATTTTCTTTTTTTATTTCTTTTAAATACTAAAATTCTTCATAAAAATTCAATTTTGAGAAATATTCAATTATTTAATAAATTATTTATTTTCGTGTTTAAATAATTGAATTCTCGAAAAAATTTTTTAGTAAAAATTCATCAAGTAATGAATTTTACTTAAAATTTTAAATTATAATTTGAATATTAAAAGTGTATGGAAATTAGGACATCGATGGTAGTATTTCTTAAATAAAAAGGGAATTTTTAATTTTGTTTGTAAGCTCGTATATTGCTTAAATAATTAAATAAATAAAAATAAAAATATATAATGTGCTGGAAGGTGGAATACATGGAGAGGAAGGGAAAAACTTTGTATATAGATAATTAACGTTCC